CTTCATTCCAGCAACTTCTGAGCCCCAAACTAACACAACCAACCAGAGATCAACGGCCTTCATTCCAGCAACTTCTGAGCCCCAAACTAACACTACAGCTCAACACCTAAACATCTCCAATAGCCCCGTGTCTTCTACAGCTCCCTCTTCAACCTCTAACCTTTTATGTTCATTCATATTTTGTATATTGTTTTGCCAGATTAACACCTAGACAAGATCAATCATACTGTCTTATGCCAGTAGAAGAAGGGCTGGATGTAACCATGATGACAATGTTCAACCTTAACCAACTAGTTTGAGTTAACTAATCCGGACAGTAGTTAGGATTCCCAAACACTGAAGTAAACTAAAGGCTCCTAATCTATGGAAGCTCTGCAGTGTAGAAAAACTGCAAATAAATCTCAGTTTCATTCCTGATTCTGTTTAACATTTGTAATGATTGTTATTATCCTTATGGGCTTATTTAATTACTAATTAAAATAAACTTATTGTAAGTCGCTTTGTAAGTCGATAAAAGCATCTGCTAAATGACTGCAATGTAATTAAAATTTAACATCGTTTCACTATTTGTCAAGAATAATTCAATTGGAACCAAATATGTGGCAACTTACACCCATCTTCACAGTAACTTCATTTGTACTTTACTTGAGTATTTCCATGTTATTCAACTTTATCATTCTACTCCACGACAGTTTAAGACTTTACACATTAAGATTTAAGAACCAAAACATCAATTATATAAACTATGATACCAAGCTACCGATTAAAATAACGTAGCAGTAACAGTATGTGAAGTCTGCTTCGTTTCCAGCTGCAAAATGAAAATACTACTTACAAGAAAGCATTAATATTTAAATATGATAAATATAAAAGTATAATTCTCTGCCCAATATGTACGTTTCCTTGAATACTTTTAAGTGCATGTAGACGTCAGCCAGTTGTCCTACCGTTGTCAGTTCTGATAAGGTCCAACCCTGATGACATCAGAGCATTCTCACTATGACATCAGTGCAATCTGTAGGTGGAGCTACAGACAGGAAACACATTCTGTCCACACGAAACAGACGTCATTAAGGGGAGACACTACATGTGAACAAGGTTTTTAACTTAAAGATATCACCATGAAACTCCCCCAGTTCATTGCTTACATTAAAGCCATTCCTTATTCCTTGTTTCACACTTCCTAAATGTTATGTTTAAATATGCAAATGAAGACAAAGTGCACTGGAGCAAAGTCTCACAACCTCAAAACAATGTGATTCATACATTTATAAATCACTTGCATATGTAATAATAATACAGGTGTACAAAGTTTCATGTGCTGTCATTGTTCCACGGGACTGTGCATCTAAACGCAGCTTGTAGTGTCTGTCGCCCTCTGGTGGACACACTGTGCCACAAAACCTCGACTCCTCACTGATGGACAGCCAATCACTTTACCACCAGCAGCAGATGTTCAGCGACGAACCAGAGAAGAGGGATGAGGCAACAGCAACTTCTGTTATGTCCTCACTAAAATGTCTTTCTAAAGCTACTTGTCCACGAGCTGCTATTTGTATTTATTCACAAATATGAATAGTTTGGGTAAAGGCGTAGTTGAGGACGTGGACGCTTTCAGAAGCGCTGCATGCTTATTTATTTTAAATATAAAGCACATCGAGTTCCATTAAATTAAAACGTATTATCAAATAAATTACATATTTAGCTTATTTTTCTATTTGTGATTTACTTACTTAAACCTTTACTGCCGACCATCTATTTTCTACTGACGTCTCTTGTCTGCAGTGTCCACTCTGTTCCCGCTGTGGGACCAATAAAGGATCATCTTATTCTTATCTTACAATGTGCTCTATGACCAGCGTTACCTATGCATCCTGGTGGAAGGCTGTATTAAAACACCATTAAAATACCTCCTTTATGACCGTTTTGTCATTGTTGGACAAGATATAACTTCGTACACAAATATAAATATACATACAAATATATTTTACCATTTCTTTACTGCAGCTTATTTGACAGCTGATATAACTTGGCTCCTGCAGACGTAGTGGCGTCGCGGAGACAAAAGGCCAGAGAGGAGACGCCGGGAGCAAAATGTTAAGATTTTATTTACAAAGTCCTTTTTGTTTGTGTGTGTTTTTTTTGTTTGTTTTTCCTTTAACTTACAGAAAGTAAAAAAAAGAAAGAAAAGAAAAACACAACATCAGCTAGTCAGTGTGAGTGTGAAGGATCAACTGGATCTCTCTGAGCTGGGAGAGAGAGAGAGAGAGGGGGGGGGGAGGTAAAGAGAGAGGGGGAGAGAGAGAGCGAGACCCCGGACAACCATACAAAATTAAACAAAAAACAATTTCTCTGAAAAAATATTTCTTTTAAAAAGCTCTGTTGGCAAAAAAGAGAGAACACAGTTTGCCCTGAGCGCGCTCAGCCTGGGGGGGGTCCTCTCTGACTACGCTTGACTGTCTGTTGATGACATCACAGAGCTCATCAATGAGGTCACATCTGCTGGCTTCGTCCCAGAGTGGTGATGTCAGAGGAAGATGGTAAAAATAATGAAACAGGGGAGGAGGGGGGGGGGGGGGGATTTGGTATTTTGTGACCTTAAAGCTCCGTTTCCTCCCATGAGCCTCTCTGTTCCGGCTCCTTCTGCAGACGACAAACGACTCAAATCTTCTCAACGTTTAAAGCTCCGCGTGTTCATGAAAATATTAAATATGGAGAATTAATTGAACTAAAATTACAAAGAAGGTGATTTTGACCAAACATCTCAAGCGGTCTTTATCGAGTCTTCCCGTCCTTTCTGATCGGTGCTTCTTCTCGTGACCGAGGGTGCGTTCACTTGTTACTTGTTTGAGTAGGAATTCTGGGGTTTGGTTCGTCACAGCAGTCACGTGATGTTCAATCGACCACGTTATGTCCCCGTCAGGATCACAGAAGCCAGAATGAACACGTCAAACATTAAGAGGCTTTTGTGAAATTAAACTTTTAGAACAATTAGTTCATATTTCTCTGAAAAATAAGAAACAGAGGCTCAGACGTTCCACGTCAGTGTGTCGCAGGTTCATCGATCATCCACTGAATATTTACGTTAACATTACAGCGATTTTACAAACAAAAAAAAACACCAAAAACTCACCGGTTCTTCTAATATGCGAGTATTTTTGTCATATTTGATTCACTTTTGGGTTTTCTGTGCCGAAAAACAAAACATCTGATAACTTTCTGCTCTGAGAAATTATAAACGGGCTTTTTAAAATCACGATTTTCAGACGTTTTATAGAAAACAACCGTCAGATTACTGGATGAAAAACAATCGTTAGTGTAAGTTTTTAAAGGTTTCGTGAATTTGAAGCTCGACGCGACACAGACGCCAGAAAGTAGTCACAACGTAATCGCGTTATTAGATTATTTTAGAGATCTTTTGATGACGTGAATTTAAAAAAGAAACGAAATGTGAGAATATCGTGTTTAGCGTCTGCAGGAAGGAGGAGAGGAGGGAGCAGTGGGAGGAGACGGGCTTCAGAAATGGGACGCAGCCCAGGAGTCGAGAGGAAGGGGGGAGGGCGAGCGTTGGGGGGGAGAGATAGAGGGTCAGAGGAGGTTAAGCAGGTTTTGTGGGTCCTTAATAATCATCTTCATCATCATCATCCTCATCTTCAGGGTCCCTCTTCCTCTTCTCTCCTTTGGCCGGAGACGAGTCCTCGTCTGCAGAACAGAACAACAACATTATTTCTACTATTTTTAAACGGTTTTATGTACTTTGCACTCTAAAAGTAAACTATAGTTTAACATTTTCATTCACTGACCGTCATCGTCATCATCTTCCTCGTCGTCGTCCTCGCTGTCCACGTCTCCGTTCACCTCTCCGTCCTGCGGAGACACAAGCTGGTTGTTGAAGGTGTTTGTAACGAGTTAAAGCACGAAGAGTCCTCGTGAAGGATCCTTTAAGGACTTAAAGAACCACTACAGGAGCTAACGGATCTAAAGACAGCAGAAAGTAGCGATTCATCGACGCGTCTCTGTGTAGAATTAACTTTAACTTCTCTCAGGGGTCGCTGCAGCTGGCGAGCTAATTGCTAACGTGTTAGCGTCCCATTAAAGGGACAGCACGGGTCTTCTGAAGTGGGATCATTGACTTGACCGTGATGCGTTCAAGCACTCTACTCAGTAGAAATGAGTACTGGTGTCGAAGGTAAATCATAACGCGGTCACGGTGTGTTCAATGTAATCTATTAAAATGTAGTTTTAGGTGAGAACCGTAGATAAATCCAGTTGTTTGGAGATGTTTCCACATCAATACAAATAGATATAAGAGAGGAATATTGAGCTGGTTAAACTCCTCAAACCATCACCACAGCAGCCAACGAATCCCCTTAAATCCTACAGACTGGACCTTTAATTGTGTTGAAAACAAAAGGCTCCTCTGAGTTAGCTCTGCTGCTAACGCGACATTCATTTCAGTGTATTAAAACGCACATTAGTACCATCAACTGTGGAAACGTTTGCATATATTTACGTCACGTTTTGACAGATTCTGTAACAAACTCAAACACTTCCTCTTCGGGACTAAAGTGTATTTCGGAGGCGGCCCAGGACTCACCTCATCTTCATTACTATCATCATCATCGTCCTCCTCTTCGGCCACTACGTCCTCCTCATCCTCTTCTTCCTCTTCGTCAAAGTCCTCTGACTCCCCCTCTGGAATACAAGAAACAGAAAAGGTGAGTAAAGATTAAAAAGATGGACAACACTTCAGGTGATGTGCCGGAAAACTTTTCTTGTTGCCGTTACCCAGACCCTCTTCGTCCTCATCCTCCACGCCGTCTCCCTCTCCGTCGGAGTCGGACGCCTCGCGGTCGTCGATGTCGTAGCCGTCCAGGTAGGTGAGCTGGGGGAGGAGCTTAAAGATGGACTCCCTGTAGTCGGCCAGGTTGGTCACCTCGCAGTTGAACAGGTCGAGGCTCTTCAGCTGGGGAAGCTTTTTCTGGAAGGGGTTCAAAGACAGACGGGATCATTTACTCCATCACACTTCTGATGTTTCCAGCTCTTACGAGGTCTGTTTTTTTTTGACTCCACCCACCAGAGGCTCCAGGGTGCTGATGTCTTTGAACTTATTCCCGCTGAGGTTAAGATGCGTTAGGTTCACCAGCCGCTCTGCCAGGACCTCCAGACCGCCTGATATCCTGTTATCACTCAACTCCAACTGTGGAGACAGAGGAGAGAGAGCGACAGAGAGACAAAGTTTAATTTCACTTTCTGGTGGAGCACGAATCTCAAAGATGCTCAATTTACTGTGATACATGAATAATAATTAGCATGTTTGAGACACTGGAAACAGAGAATATTTGGCAAATTTGCTTAGAAAAGTATGGAAATTGCTGCAGATTAATATTCTCTATTAACCGTTTCAGCTCCAGGTTGTTCCACTGAGGACATCCTGATACACGTGTTCACACTACACGTGTGTTGTGGTTCAAGTGGTTTAAGTGTCACTACGTCTGGTTCTCTTACCTTTTTGAGTTTGTCCAGTTTGGGGATGTCTGCTACGCTGGTCAGGCCGACGTTGATGAGGCTCAGCAGCTCCAGGTTGGAGAACTCTTCTGTGATTCCTTCGATCTTTCCTTCGCCGGAGCGACAGTTGTCCAGAACCAGCTCCTGGACCTGAAGAGGGCGCAGAGACAAGTACAATAAGCTCTACATTTTTATAACCGAATAAAAGTTGAACGCCCCTTTTTCTTTTAGCTACACAGAGATGTCTTGATATGACTAATTCAGAGAGTCATTTAACTCAAACCAGCTCTGCCACGCGGTGATAAAAAGCAAAGATGAGTGTTGTGAATATGCTGCATGACGACAGGTGAAAACCAGAGAAAGCTGTAAAAATAAAGAACTTTACTGCTGTGTTAAGTGCCAGCTAGCTCACATTTTGTTTTTAAACTCAATTACGTATTCTTTAACCTGATATTAAGAGAATTTAAATATATTTATGCCACTTTTAAATTTGAGAAAACAGTCCTGTGTGGCTTTTGGAAACATTTTCTTACATTTTGTATTTCATTTTATAAAATCTTCTGTAATAGAGTGGAAAGGCATATTTATTTTTAAGATATTTAAACTTCACACACTTACCAAAAACCCAGACAGAACATGCGACTACAGCTGGAAGTTTTTGGTACATAAAATATCAGATAATAGTATTTTTTAAAAATGGCTACCACAATCTACCAAACTTTAAGTTGATATATTCAAACATTGTAATTTAACCAAACTTAAATACATTACATATACACAATTATAATACTATATCTATATCTATATATATATAGATAGTATTTTAAATATAATATTTGCATAAACTGCGCAGGAATCCTGCGCAGTTTCATATTGGAAGGGACCCCGGCACGAGACTGTTTATAAACTCCACACACACGTGACGCTGCTAAGTTATAGCTTCTTGCTAAACTCCTACATTTACTAATTATTCCGTTTGATTACCGATGAAGTGAGCGCGAGAGGATATAACTCGTTTCTATTGGTTACAATGGAGGCGACGAAAAAGCACAACAAGCGCACGCGACGTAGCTACTTTAGCAAAAGCTAGCACGCCGCTGGCTACGCGCCCTTTTGGGCTTCGACTAATTCCTGGATCCGCGACGATAAACAACAACGAAAATTATACTTTTTTAAAGAATGTAAAACCCCGAACGTTGCGAGGCTAGTTTAAAGACGGGGGGTTGTGGTTTTAAAATTAATAACTTCGGATTTGACCCACGTTTTAAGTATGTAACCCCAAAAAACAATGACGCATTTCCTGCATTACACGATTATTAAACGTTAAAGAGATATCGTGACGAGTCGTTTTTTACGTACTAACGTAGCGTCCTATACTACAATATATATAGAACTTATTCGACCGGTCAAAATACATGTTGTATTTAAATTGAGTTACGTTACCGTCTCGTGCAAGGCAAATATAAGCCGTACTGTAACTTATTGAAATATCGCAGGCCCAGCCATTAGCCGGGCCCGCGAGACACACGGATGTGTACATGTCGGTGCTCGAGCAAGAAGGCACGCGCAAGTTTCTTTTGCACACGAGCAGTTTTATGAATGAATCATTTAACAACAGTTTGCAATGAAATATGCGAGAGAAAAGCGTGAACATTAAAAATGGAAACAAGGCGGTAAAACAGCTGCGCAGTTGGTCTGTTCAAGGATTTATTGGTAGCTCATTGAATATATTTTTAAACGTTATATCTAGTTGCAGCTTAGGTATAAACAGTAAACGGTAAATGTTACATTTTAGCACTTTTCCGTGGAGCTGCAGACATCCTGCCATGTGCTCGCCATCACTCCTTCTTCTCCTGCCGGTCGAGTTTAACGTAAAAAACAACAACATAAAACTACTCACTTCTGTCGGCGACCGGTGCCTTAATTCTAATGAGACCCTCTTCTTCATGTCCATTTTCCTCTGGTTTTTGGCCTGAATTTGGGTCTCTGAGATGCGGAAAAAGTTGTTTCTCCTCGAACCTCTTCTCTTCAGTATCAACACGCGGAAACCTGCGTGAAGCTAGCTAGAGTCAAAACGCAAAGACTTCCGGGCAAGACTTGCAAAATAAAGTTCTCAGTCATCTCAGCGGAAATGGAACTGAAGCATATCCTGTGATGAATATTAATTTACAACCACCACACAATACCTATGGTATAACTGATACTTTTTAGTCACGTGTTTTGTCCTTCATAAGCTAGATATTTATTTTGTGGGTATGGAGGTTTTTCACTTATATATTTATTTTGAAGGAACACTATTGTATTTCCGGTCTTCTCTGTCTTTCCTGTCGGGCTTGACACAGCGTGTGAAACGTTCCCGTGGCGTGTGTGAAAAGTGGGTCAAGCCGTTTGCTGCTTTTACTTGTCCTCGAAAATACATAAATTTAACATTGACGACCCAACAAATGAATAAAGCAAATTAGGATTTCACTCAATACATCATACTTAATTGAACAGAAAGGGATAATACATACAGATATCACAAACATGTTAAAAACGTATCTTTCCCCTCATCTTGTATGTTTATAAACGCAAATTCCTCCTCTTTACTCTTCCAGTACGCTGGATTTTTACATATAAACAGCAATACAAGGCAAAGAAAGATACATGCGTCATTGAGTCAATTTACAAACAATATTATTGGCATATATACTTGATTTCGCGCACAAACGTCATATTTTGCCGCTCGTGAGCGATAAAGTTAAATTTTTTGAGCAGTACATGAAAGCACCATATGTTGATTTGTAAAAGGAGGGAAACCAAACGGCAGCAGGGGGGAAACATGTCTCTACAGCGCCGGCGGCGGCCATTTTGGCTCATTGCACACGAAAAAAACAACTGAAACATCTCTACTGTTGAGCCCTACGGGGCCACAGGACAGAGGATTGAAAAGCCCTCTGAGGCAAATTTGTGATGGCATTTTGGGCTATTAAATGTGTTATGTAATGTATAATAAATGTATAATGCTAATTATTTCATAGGTTTTTTTTATATATTAGGCCTACCCAGTGCTTGAAGAAGAAAAGAACATTATTTCCAAAGTGTGATTTGATGTTGTAGGCCCAAATAAAATTTCAAAATAAAAGTCATCCCATAGAAAGTACACGTGAAGTGTAATATGCACCTTTTTTATTGATGGTGTCTTTCTATGAAAAACAAAATGGACTCTTGCCATGTTTAATCATAGTGTTAATTCTTTATTGTCATTACATTGTAGATCATCTTCACGACAAGCAGTTATACATACGGTGGTCTTAGATTATATCATCGTCCAATACGAGGAGAGCAACAGTAAGTTAGTATCACAGCTAGATTTTTCCATTGACCACGCAATCCCCCCCACACACACAAACACCCAAAAATTCCTCCATCCTCCCCTCCTGCACATCATACACTAATGTATTGACAATCGTCAAATACGCAACAGGTGCCGAACCAATGAATAGGACGCAGGAATAAATAAATAAATACATACATACATACATACATAAATAAATAAATAGCAACAAAGTGTGTATATATTCACGTATACACATCTCACCAGAAGACAGGTTCCATAGGCATGGGGGCTATTGTATACAGCCACAAGGCATACAGTTCAATGTAGGCCAGACCAAGGCCACGTTGCAACAATGCAGACTAGTTTGTTTCTTTAAAGGCAAAGCAGCCCAGAGAGCAGGAGTAATCTCATTGGTTCACTGAGGACTTGGTGGGAGGGGCCTAAAAAAGTGGAGCAAAATACAAACAAAGTCGAACTTATAATAATGTTAATATTTCCAAAGATGTCGAACTCTTACTTCAACCATTTTATTAAGTTCTTTGTGTTTTGGAGAGTCAATGCTAAGCTAGGCTAACTAGCGTCATACTACACACACACGTGGGTTCAATCTTCTTATCTAATTCTCACCAAGAAAGCTAATGACAATAATATTTCCCAAAATGTCAAACTCTTCCTTCAACAAGTTCCGTCATTTCTTTAGGCATTGGACAGACCCAGGCTAGCTGATTCCTCCCGTCTCCAGTCTTTATGCTAAGCTAAGCTAACTGGCTTCGTGGTTTCCAATCTTCTCACATAACTCATACTAAGAAAGCTCATAATAATGTTAATATTTCCCCAAATATTGAACTCTTACTTCAACCATTTCATTTCTTTCTTTGCAGAGAGTCAATGCTAAGCTAAGCTAACTGGCTTCATATTCAACACAAGAGTGGTTGCAATCGTCTTCAGTTAGAAAGCGAATAACAATAATACTGTTGATTCAAGGAGGCAATAGTAGACAAGAGATGTTGGTCCTTTTGTGTGTGATTTACTAGTTTATTGATTAATCTAAAATAACCAAATTCCATAATCCCTCATCTTGACTGATTTCTCTTAATTTCACAATTAAAAAGGTACCTTTTTAGCTTTAAATTAACTTCCTCAAAAAGAGATTTCCGATGCTTTCAGAGCTGCTTTACCGCTGAGGACAGACTGCAGAACTGAAGCTTCAATCTGCAGGTTTGGTTCGGGAGTTCTCCGCCCGATCTCACAATCGAGAGCGACATCGATAATGAAACGGAGGCAGGTGACGCGGCCGAGGTCCGACTCTCATTTTAGGTGAACAGGAAAAAAAAAACTATGGGAGCGCAACACTGTACAAGTACCTCATTGAGGTTAGAATACATGTCGCCTTAGAGGGCAAATGAGCACAAAAAAAACCACAAATAAAAGAAGACAAGAGCAACAAAATTCTCAGCGAGAAAAGTCTTAAAGCACTTTGTAATTTGGAGAGGAGTGCCATACAAATATATAGCATAAGCATGTCAAAAGATTGTAAGAAAAAAGAGTTACCATAGGCTCCAGCAGCACAAATATCTCGTTTGGTTGCATGCAGCTCACAGACTTTTCCACAGGTGGATTCAGAAAATCTGTTTTTTTTCGCAATCAGAACAAACAGACAAAACAAATAAAATCAAGAGGAAACACCAACAACCTGTTAACAGTTACAGGACGAGCAGGTTTGTGAAAGAAACAGAGAAAGTTAGTTTCTGATTGTAGTGTTGCTGTAATTAATGTGCTTTGGCAATGGAAGAGATGTCCAAGTTCTACAGTTATTGATATCCACAGTTTTCCTTCAGAGTCACCTCTTCCTTCTATATTTTATTGATAAATCGTTATTTATTGCCTTAGTATTCAATCGTTATTGACTGTATAGATTATACTGAGTCTCTGGTTTAAAATGCAGTATTTCTTATTATTCATTGTTATTATTTGTGTCGATAAACACCATCATATCTTTTCAAAAGGACTTAAACTTTCCCATCCTCTAACCAAACATTTTATGAAAAGATAAAGATAAAATCTCTGCTGGAAACCTGGTAAATTATTACTACTATCAACTACGCGACCCATTTAATGGCTATTATGAGCTGTGTCGACTTGTTGTCATGGAACATTTTTAAAACACCAAAAGGTACTGTATAAATTCTGAGAATACTTTGATACTTCATACCTTCACGTTAAAAATGATTGAAACAAGCAACTCATGAGCTATTTTCAGACCGGTTTGCGCACACTTTCTCCATCATGCAGATTTTGGTTAACATCCTGAGTATGAATCAGGGAAGTTTTAACATCTAAAAATAGTCATAATCGTCCACTTAATTACACATTTGTGATACTAGTTAGATTTTGGTTCCAACAAAAAGTTTGGTCCAGTTCACGCCAGTAAAGCTGTTGCTAACTGAAATGAGTTATTGTGATATATGACGAGTACTAATTGTCATATATTACAATTTTAAGTAGTAAAGAAAAGACAGAAAATGTGGCAAAAATAATGCAAAGTACAAATGTTTTGCGTGTAAGCCATGCTTTTAAACCGATGCTTCCCAAATGTATTCAGAATACGCAACTTTTCTCTGTTTTTTAACAGAATATGTTTAATTTATGATGAGGTATTCACTATTCAGGCACTACATACTATGAAGTATTCTGCTCAACGCTGCAAGGACTGGAATGTGAAGGGAACGGCTAGCCGGTTATCCACATCTGGCACAGATTCCTGCCGATGTTTGATGACGTAGTAAAGAACGCTTGGAAAGAAGAAACCCTAAGCTTCTTAGTTTAACAAAACACGTTGAATATCCAATATGATACCCATTCAAATTTCAGTTTTATTATATTTCAATATAAACCCAGCACCACATTGAACGCCCATTACAACGGATATCATAGTTCTTCACCGTTACGTTTCTCTTTAACAGACCAAAGAAACATAAAAACAGATCAACACAGCAGATCTCTTAACACCTCCATTGCTGGTCCATTGTATGTGAAACTCCCTGTCAACTTGTCTTGGAGCTAGCGCTAACACTTCTGAACACATATAACTGTGGTGGAGTAACAGTTAAGTCCACAGAACAAGTCACACTTTATACTGTATGTGATGCATACTCCAGGGAACTAGCACGGCTAACAGTTAGCACCAATACCGACCGCTTACTGACATGATACTGTTTGGAAAAGTCAAATGGGATTTTATGCACCATCAGCATATTTGAAGGGTTCTGAATCTTGTGTTAATGCTTCAATGTATGGAGGGTTCCAGAAGGTTCAGAACATATCAGAACACTTCTGGATGTTCTCACACTGTTCAAAATGTAACCAATGTTCTACGATGTTTGAGAGTTTCTTAAATTTAAAAGGGGAGTTTCAGAACGCTGCCAAGATTCCGGAATAATGAAATGCTTCCACATCATTGTCTCAAGGTTCTAGAAGGTTCCCCGGGCCACAGGTACGGTCATTGTATTGATGGGTTTGAAGACTCTGGCTGCTTCCGAAATTCCGCGCCAACATGCTTTTTTTCTACGCTAAAAAATAGTACGTGAGAAAAACAAAACTACATATTGTTCCTCTTATCTGCAGTGCCATTTATCAATCCAGACATCTCAACGGCGGATATCTCCAACACTCAGCAACTCACACCAAAACAATGTAGATTGATAAATAGCACAACAGGTAAGAGGAAAAACATCTAGTTTTGATTTTGGGGGTGAACTGTCCCTTTAAATGATACAACATCTTATTGTAGGACACACTTCCCAAATGTAATCGAAGACATTGGACGGAAAACAGGAATTTTAGAACGGCTACCACTGTTCACACGGTCCTGCATGCAAAAAGCCACAAATAGGACGAGTCAACAAGCATCTACTCCACACAGTACACACAAAACACTGTGAATGGGTAAGTCAGAATAGTACACAGAGAAAAAAACAAGCATCATTTCCTCTACACACACTGTAATAACCCTCTTATCTGTTCACCAACCTGGCGAAAAGTTCTGTTCAACACAACTGGCCTGTGCTGGTGGTGTTAGCATATCGCTGCTTCCTGGTAAAACACCAAGTTTTCCTTTTTAATCTCTTGAGCTGACATGTTTATTGACGTGTTGAAGGAAGTTTCCTGACCCTCAAACCTTTAAAAACATCCCCATTTATAAGATAAATAGGCGACCACTTTATGTTCTTCTTCATTCTGTAAAAATCAACTTATTGCAGACACGGCTTTTAATCCAAAGATGCGCTCTGGAAAACCAAATTCCCCCGGGGCGTCTTATCGCCCAAATGTCTGATTTGGCTGGTTCATGCATACAGCCACTGAGCTGAGACTCTATGTAGACTCTGAGAAAGAAAGGCTGAGTATGTTACAGGAGATATACTCAAAACAACAGCAGCGGGGCAGGTGACCAACTGCAGCTCTGGATCGTAGGGTTAGAAGCCTGCATACAGTATGGAGCCGTGCTGAGAGGCAGTGCTAGCCGAGGAGGGACGGAAGGAAAGAAAAGACAGAACGAGGGGAAGACTGTGACCAGTGCTGAGAGATCTAGGGCTGAAGAAAAAGCACAGGAAGGCAAGTCAAGGTAGAAAAGTCAGAAGTACAGCAAGAAACATAAGAAGAGAAGAAGAAGACAGCAGTATAAAAACAGCTGTCAGGCAGTTTAACGGACAAGCAGAGCTTTATGCTGGCTCGGTCGTAGTAGAGTAAGAACAGGTCGAAATGCACATACAGACACAAACATGCACGTACATATACACCGCGCCTCAAGTCACCAAAGCCTCATTGGGTCTCCGGTGCCGCCCGGCTGAGCGAGTGCCATAAAAGATCATCCCTCGTTCCTTCTGTTCTGCATCTCTTAACGTGGGGAAATCCTCAAATCCCCCTTTCTTCTTCTTCTCCTTCTCGAATCACCGTCCTACCGCCTCATCTCGTCCGCCCCCGTCTCCGTCATTTCAGTCCGGTTTTGTGAAAGCAGAATTGCACAGAAGCACAGAAGAAGAAGAAGTAGAAGGAGGACGTGCTTTTGTTGTTTATGCAAATACAGGCTGTTTTCTCCGGGGTGTCTGGATTGGTCGAGGGGTCATTGTCGGCATTCCTAATGAGGGAGTGGCACCAGGATATCCACGTAGTTGATGGGGAAGAAGCCCGACTGGCCGTTGATCATGCCCTCGTACCAGTTGTCATCAATCTGATTGGTCAGGGTGATGACGTCGCCCTCCTTGAAGCCTAGCTCGCCTTCGTTCTCTGCTTCGAAGTCGTAGAGCGCTCGGCAACAGGGCTGGTCCATGGGGGCTGTGAAGAGACGGACACAAGAGGTATAAGAATTGTAATTGAAGGGCTATGCCCTCTAGTTGTCATATTTTACAAGGCGACAACCTAGGTACCTTGCACAAGTTCCTTAAACCTGCATTCTCTCTAATGTCCACCAGGGGGGCGACTCCTCTGGTTGTATAGAAGTCTATGAGAAAATGACTCGACTTCTCTCTTGATTTATTACCTCAGTAAACATTGTAAACATGAGTTTATGGTCTCAATCTCTAGTTTCAAGTCTTCTTCAATACAGCATGATGTTCATTTAGTACATTATGGTCCATTTAGAGTCAAACAGACCATAAAGCAGAGGATGCTTTAGGGCGGGGCTACACAGTGATTGACAGATCTACTGTCTGCTTACTGAGGGAATAAATCAAGAGAGAAGTAGAGTCATTTTCTCATAGACTTCTATACAATCAGAGGAGTCGCCCCTGATGGACATTAGAGAGAATGCAAGTTCTACGACACTTCCGCATCGGCTTCACTCTGCAGAAACCGGAGGCTGCCGCCTGGTTGCAAAGAACCAAGATGGCAACAGGCAAAAAAGACTTTTTTTGGTCTCTTGGTTTGGTCAAGCACTCATTCACCAACCCAGAACGCACGCCCGCTCCGCTCTGTACCTGGTGATCTTCCAGGCGATTTGGCCGAGTTTATCCCGCCGTTGTGGCTCTCGATGGGGGGCAGCAGCTCCAGGGTCATTCTGGGTTTAGGAGCGTACTCCTTCCTCGGTTTAGCGGACACTTCTTTTATCCTGAAAGGGCCAGAAACAAAACAAAAAGGTTTGTCTAACCACTATTTTTTTCTATTGGTTTACGTTCATCACAGGTAGGCACATGGATCAATACCTTTCCTCCACCTTACTGGAGAGCTGTTGGAGGATTTCGGCAGAGCGGCTGTGGTATTCCAACTGAGCTTGAACCAACGCTGCCAGCTGGCTCACCTGTTCTATCTGCAACACATACACACACACACACACACACACACTTTTGTTTTTTCAACAGCACAACCTGTTCTGTACCCATACTGGGCCCTGGTCTGGCTTGGCACAGCGTGGCAGAGGATCGCTGAGTAAAAATACTGATTCACTGTGGTTTATAAATGAAGTCCCTGTTTCCATTTTTCTTCTTTTCAGATTATTTTGCTTTTTTTCCTTGTACATGTCCACTTTTGTCACATTTGCTAAACGTTCAACCCCAGGCAAACTACATTAAAGTCAACTGATCCAAAAATAAATTCTGGTGCAATTACTTTAAAGCAGACTCGAGCTATAGTTGATCAATCTGCAACTATTGTAATAATTTGTTTAAAACCAGTTGATGATTCCAGCTTCTTAAATGTGAGAATTTGTTGCTTTTCGTCCTCTTTGTAGTAGATTAAATGTATTTGTTTTTGGACTGCTTGTTGGACAAAACAAGACATTTGATTGATTACTATTGATAATAATTGGCAGATTCATTGCCTATGAAAATAGCTGCAGGGCCTCAAGCAGACATGAATAAAGAGAAGTCCTCACGTCGCTCTCCAGCAGGTTGAACATGCTCTGCTCCGCGATCTCTTTGCTCTCGTCGAACTTCTCCAGCGCCTGTTTGAGTTCATCGTCCTGGACTTTCCCCTGGCGCTTCTTCTTGTAGTCGAAGTCCAGACGGCGGCCCTCCATCTTCTTCAGGTGGTGCTGCAGTGGAGGGGCAACAAGACATGAGAGGAACGGAATAAACATCACTTTAGAAACCATTTACAATTTGTGTATAAGCTCCTACACAACATCTAACTCACATATATTAAGGCTTAGTCCATCAGATGACCTTGTGTCTTCATTGAAGCCTTTCAACTGGGAACCAATCACAGGGGTTTTTGCTCACCTGTATCTCTTTGAGGTCTTTGTCGTGGAGGTTCTGCAGCGGGTCGATGAAGTTCTGTTTGACCTCCATGTCCAGAGCGTCCTTCACCTCCCCGAGCTCCTTCATCGACTCGCTGGCATCGATCAGCGCCAAACCTGGGATGAACGGACGGGCAAAATAGAGACGGAGAAAATATCAATTTATTTTGTCCTCATAGACAATGTGGTGCGACTCTCTGTTGAAGCGCTTTAATCATCAGTACAAAAGAGGAACAAAAGTCAAAAGGTACAAGGCTGAATCTTTCATAAAAAGCCTTGAGTTAGATGTTAACTATGACTTCCAAGGAGCATTTTGACAAGAAACATCCAATCACAGAACATAAAATATGTTTTTCTGCGCCGCTAACAGAGGGTGGGAGCTAAAGAATAAATACATTCTACAATCTACATTTCAAATCAATTTACCGAAAATCAATTTTGGATGAATTCAGGAGATGATTTCAGTTGGAATAATTAAAACTGGTGGCCATAACGTAGACCTATAGAGTCCTGCAGGAATGAGTCCTAAAACCAGGAAATGAGTCAGCATTTTTGTACTTCCTGTACTCTCGTCTGGAAGTCAATGTTTTTTTTGTTTTTTTTGTTTGTTGCCTGAAACACAAGCTGAAGAGATTTTAATGTTTAGTTCTCTGATATAAAATAGGTCAGTAAAAACCCCTCTGGTGAATTTAGAAGCTTTTACGTGACTTAAAGAAGAGTGTAAATGAGACGACTAAGCGTCCTCACTAGAGCACGAGTCCTCCTGTAGCTTAGTGGTGGAGGCGTGAAGCCATGTGACCGTGGTGTAGTTCCTTTATAGCCTAACGTTAGCGGTTTACTTCTGCTGGTTGCATTCACGCTTCAAAAATCATAAAAGTGGTGAAGATTATCTTGTTGAACAAAACGTGTCATAAACATTTGTTTGCTACAGAGTTTATTTTCTGCAATAATCCCAATGGCTTTTTTAACCATGTGCGATACTAACTTCCAAGATGGCGTACAAAAATACGTCATCCCTGCAGCAATTAGAGTCCACAGTTTCTACGTTTAGTAAAAGTACAGACCCAAAACTCTATATTTGCCTCCAGACAAAAAAGCTGAAACCCCTCTGAACTAACACGCCTTTGTCGATATCGTAGCACCCTAAATGTGTGTACGTTCCCACTTACCGAAGGTGGATTCCTCCCCTAACTCCCGTCCAAACCTTAACATGGCGTCTCCCAGGACGCTCTCAGCCTGCGGGTACCCGGGTCCCTTTTCCTGCCCACGGATCTTTGACATGGTGTTGATCATACTCAGCTTGGCTCTGGATGCTGCAGGGCGGCAAGGGTTAAAATCATCAGTGACTGGTTTTACTCTACATGTTGTGGCAGTCTGAGTGTGCGTCTGATACCTGGATTCGGTTGTAGGTACTCTGTAGTTTTGGTCATGATGTCCAACACCGCTCTGCTGGTGACGTCCACCTTCTGCAGAGAAAAACACATCAGGGACATCGTGAGAACATGAACCTACTTAACACTAAATGTAGATATTTATATATGTTGATAGATGAGAAGCAAGTAGCTCTTCACTCAATGAACACACCAATGGAAAACTGAGAAATGTAAATAAACATTTGCTCCAAATCTTAAAGGAATAGTTCGACATTTTTGGAAATATATTCACTTGCATTCAGGCAGAGAGATTGATGCCACTCTCACATTTGTTAGCTTAGCTTAGCATTAAGGCTGGAAACAGGGGGAAACAGCTAGCCTGGCCCTGTCGACAAAATCCACCTACGTAACCAAGAACTCAAAAGCTCAACAACTAACAATCTTGTCGGTTTTATACAAATAAATCCTCAGCTTTACAGGGAGCTATGTGCCAGACTCTTTATGCTAAGCTAAGCTAACCGGCTGCAGCCTTATATGTATTTCTATAAAGGCCATATCTGAGTGTGGTATCAATCTTCTCATCCAACTCTCAGCAAGAAAGCAAATAAAAGTATTTCCTTCGTTTAAGCTATCACGTCGGAAACCTGCTTCACCGTAAATTGGGACCCATTACCGTGAAGCAGCTGCAGTGTTAAACCCCTGAAAACAAGTTACAAATTGTTCTTTAGGTATATCTATTAAATCCTAATTGATGCACAGAAGTATGTGACACCTACAAAACAAGAACAACTAAAATCTTTAATGTGAAACAACTTGAACATATGTTTTTAGGGTATTTAAGAAACAAAACACTTTAACAGAAATGTGACCGTGGTGCAGAAAGCAAGGTTTGTATATTTACATGTATTCTTTCATACAGCAGTGGTTTGATTTACATGAGGTTCTGAGTATTTTTACTTTCAGCGAATCAATAAGATAGATCTGTATTTACCTTTTCCATTTCTTTGAAGTCATCATCGAGCTTGGTTCCTTCCGCCCCTCCAACCTTCTCACTGACTTTCTGTAACAGGAAACACAAAGAAACAAAGAAAGAAGTTCATGTTTAGAACCCACACTGAGAGAAGAAAGAGAGGATCCTTCCTATCTCTAAAAAAGTAAACTTTTCATGAGATACAGTGGAGCAAACAAAACAAGGCCACATTAACATCGTGACTGCATTCAGACTTCACAACCTCGGCCACATCTCTGTTCTGCTGCAGGTCGTCCTTGTGGCAGCGCAGCAGAGAGACGCCTCTCGCTTTCTAATCGCCTCAGGATGCAGGAGAGGAGGAGGGACGAGGAGCAGAGTGGGATTCTCCACCATCGTGACTCACAGCAGCCACCCACGCTTTAGTGGGCCAGACACACACACACACACACACACACACACACACACACACACACACACA